CTAAAAACCATTTAGTAGGGAATAAGAATGTGTTTATACTCTCACGATCCCTCCAATGGTTAAGCGGTTAGTCTGAAGGCTTATAACACTAAAAACCATTTAGTAGGGAATAGAATTTTGTTTATAGTCTCACGATCCCTCCAATGGTTAAGCGGTTAGTCTGAAGGCTTATAACGCTAAAAACCAGGTTTCGATATCTCTACTAGGAACAATTAGGCCATTGTGTAGCTTTTCACTTAACAACAAATAAACAAAGTATTTTATTATAATAATAATAATTATGAAAACAGAAAGATGATTATGACATATTAAAAATAATGCTTATTTAAATAGAATTCGTAGATTGAAATATATAGTGTCAATAGATTGTTTGTTTGTAATTAAACACAGAGCTACACAATGGGCTATTTGTGCTCTGCCTACCATGTGTATTGAAACCCGAATTCTAGCCTTTTAAGTTTGTAGACATGCTGCTCTGCCACTGCGGGGCGTATCGACAGATAACCAAGAAAGATGATTCATTGGCATTTTGTTATTTAGTTCAGAAGATATTCAATGTTTTATCATTGGGTTTAAAAAATTGAAATTAACTAAACATATTTATAAAGTATTATTAAGAGATTACCTATTTAAAGATGAACAAGTAGTAAATTTCTTTCTTTTAGTTATATTTTTTATTGTCATGAGTAAATTATTTGCATTATTAATTTACTAATCAACATTATTTCATTGAATATTATCTTAACTCGAAGATGTTTTCTATTCATCGATCTTTCACATCAAATTATGCAAATACTAACTTTTAAAAAATGTAAACTATTTGTCGGTTTAGTAGCTTGTGATTTTGCATTGCATTGTATTTTGCTATGTAGATAATTAAAATGATGAAATAACCTATTAACAATATAGAAAATGTTAAAGTTGAATATTAAACACTGGCCATGACATCTTAATAAATGTGTTCTAGAATTTCAACTACTAAGTAGTTTGTGTAAGTTTGTGAATTTATATTCAATGCCAAAAATAATACTACAGATTTACTGACGACAGATTTTGGGTTCATTTTGCAGGTGCCCCTGGTTTTGAGAAATTTAACGAGGAAACTAGACTTGTTCTTAAAGATTTATCTTTACCCATACATGGATAACAATGCTGTTTCTGTCCAAAACTCTCCCAACAAGATCCGTATCAGTTCAGTGGCCGTGAAACAGCTATCCACTATACCCTTGCATAACTTGTACATCCAAACACCTTGGGAAAACACTTACTATACTAAACTCTACGCACCCAATGTGAAACCTTTTTCAACAGCGATATCTTTTCTGTCTTATCTGAAGGAGCATCTCTACGCTGTTATCAATTATCAAAGTAGCCGTAAGTTATGTTATCTATTATATCATATTGTAATATCAGTACGCATAGTAACACATATTGGAGAGATGGTTTAAACCAGAACTACGCATGTTTAAGCATTAGTTCTGTTAGTTATACTAAAAAAATACAGAAGTTGAGTACGTTATATTAAAGTGATTTTGGAACCTCACCACTTCATTACAGTCCATGTTACCACGTCTGCTCTATCTTACAACTGTGTATCCTGTTAATAGCCGTGCAACGTAGCTTCCATTGCAAAAGGCTCAGTCGTAATCCTACAATGTCCAAAGCATACAACTTTTCCCTATATACTTTCAGCAATCAATCTAACGAACGAATAGCATTTCAACAGTCCGATCGCGCAGAAATACATAGCTGCTGAGTATGGAATAGCAAGTGTACTCGTTCATTTCCAGTTACTTTAGATATGCGACGATTGAACGAATATGTTCAGGTGACTTGTGTCGCTTATCAATACCAAGATCCTTCTTGATTATGTTGAATATTGTCGCATGAGACACGCGTATGGCTTCTGCCAATGACCCTCTGTTCGTAAATTCTCATCTATTACAAGTTGCCGCACTTTGCTTACTTACTATGGGTGAGGTACGACTTGTAGAAGGTCTCTTTCTGGATGTTCCTGTCTCCCTAAAGTGATTCATATTCCTTTGTTTCACAATACCGTTAATTACAATTGTATTCACATATTGTAACTTCTAAATTTCCGATTTGAACACATCTTTGTTATCTGACTGTATAGATATTTTGTATCGGCAATGGCTGTTACATACCTTTCTCAAAATGGATCAGTTTTCAATGAAACCACGCTACCTACGAAACGCCAATGTCAGAATATAGTTCCAATACATGCCGTTCTACCGCGATTTTATCTCATTGATTCGTACATTCAAAATCATTATAATATAACGTATTCATCCCACTGTAACTATCTTTTTATTAGAATTGGTAAATTAAAAATATAGTTTCGTACAGTTATTAATGTTTGTTTGTTTTGAATTTCGCGCAAAGCTACACGAGGGCTATCTGCGCTAGCCGTCCCTAGAGGGAAGGCAGCTAGTCATCACCACCCACCGCCAACTCTTGGGCTACTCTTTTACCAACGAATAGTGGGATTGATCG